ATTCTATTTTCGAAAGTGAAAATTCTATTTTTGAAAGTGAAAATTCTATTTTCGAAACTGATAATTCTATTTTCGAAAGTAAAAAAATCTTTTTTCGAAAGTGAAAATTCTATTTTTGAAAGTGAAAATTCTATTTTCGAAAGTAAAAAAATCTATTTTCGAAAGTGAAAAAACCCTTTTCAGAGAAAATAATATTTTACTTTTTTAAAAGAAGCTTAAATACTCGGTTTTCACCCTTCTCCCCCTGTCATAGACAACTTCACAAACATTCCTGAAGTTTTTGTCTTCATTATAAAGTTCATAAAAAGTTGAAACAGGGAAAATCTATAAAGACGTTAAGTTTGTTCAACTTTCGAATTACGTCATGACTCATGAGAAAAAAAAACTCAAAAAACTGCCGATGTAATAATTTGATAAAATAATTATCTAAATCTTAAATTGAATATTATTTTTGATGGAAAAAAAACATAAAAATATTTGACTTTGAATGAAAGTGCGTAGGCCTTACTTCCATATTTAATATGAGTATATCTTGATACATGGTAATGCTATCTTATCAATTATTCACACGATTTTCTTTCCATGTAGATTCATATGTATGCTTACTGTGTAGTAGTTACAGCATATGATGTATAAAAAAATCAATTCAATACAATATAAATCGCCACATGCAACCATACAAATTAATCTCAGTACGTGTTTATTATCATAAAATAAATGTAAATTTTGAAAAGAAAATTGCCATAAAGCATTCTCTGACGAACATTTAATAATGGCTATTATTGTACACAGTAGCTTGCAAAGTCACGAAATAATCAGTCAAAACAATTTACATAGCTTGAGATGGATGGAAAAAGTATAAGAAAATAATTTGATAAACAGCTCTAGTAAGTTAGAGACATTAGTTGATATTATGCCTGAAGGGTTCAACGATCTTAATGAGAAATCAAGATGAAGATTAACATTTGCAAATAAATCAATGTGGTTTACTTCTAATAGACTTTCTGTGTGTGAAAAAAATAGCATGTGGATGACACAATAATTTAATGCGAACTACATGAAGATATAAAGTAAATGAATTAAAGATTAATGAAAATTAGTTACATGAAAAGTTATGCGATGACATCGCAACTGATGAAGATAAAGATGAGTGATATAATTTAATTAGAGATGAGTGAAAGGAAAAGGGTAGTTGTTGTTGAACATTGAGTTATACAAGTGTGATGGCTTGTTTTCCTCTCTTTTTTTTAATACTTGCAATATATTATTATGCAGTAAGAAAAACTGTATACATGCACATCAGAGTAATAAAAGAAAGTGAAACGAGCAAGTGAATAATTAAGCTTCTGATGTCATACAGCATAATAAATTAAAACAGCATGGACTAAGTCTCATTTATAATACTAAATTGATTGTTTTCCATTATCCAACAAAACACATTTAACGAAGCTAAATTCATTAGTGCTTTTTTTGTTTCGCACTGTTTTGCTTAATAGGTGATGCAAACAAATGAATGAATTATGTCAGCTGAAATAAATCCTGGCCATCGGTCGTTAAACTTTTTATTTGCGCTCCATTACAACATTTCTTCTTGTTTTCATGCCAGAGCTGTTAAATTTTAAAAAACTAGCATTTTGGTTCCAAAATCGACTTTATTGTCTAGAAAGATACTATTTTCAATAAATTCATTGATTGAACCTACTCTGGTCTATGATTTAACCAACTGCACCTAATATAAACTATAATTGCACTTAGTCCAGCTATTTTAGACTTAACCTGAACCTAGTAAGGTCAAAAAACAGAAATATTAAAAATACCAAAGAATATAACAGTCTTAATCGTCTAAAAGATCAACTCTGCCTCTACTCCAGTCAATAAACAGAAACAGCAAGTGGCAAAGGCAAAATAGTTGCAATCTATTCATCATATAGACATTATTTAATAAAAATGCCTTAAACTTTCTAATTAACTGCCCATTTTTGCTCATTTGGCTTCGCGTTGAAGTTTAAAAGAATTGATTTTTTTTACAACCTTCACACTCCAAATATCCCGCACGCTGCAGTTTAATCAAGCTAAACTGTGTGTTTTCCATCTCGATATTACTTTTATTACATGATCGAATACCTGCTGATGATTAAGCCGCGTAAACAGGTTCCCATGTCTAAGTCGTCAAATCGATTTAAAAAAAAAAATTACGTACGTCTTCTGTATACAGTCATAAGTGAAAGAGATACAATAATATTATTAATAGATAAATAAAAACATACAGCATAGCCATCGAATCGCATAATAATATGAAAGTTTCATCAATATATCTTTCTTCCATATAATATTATTATTGGCCTGCTTAAACACTTTCACATTCTTTTATGTGAACAACTTAATGCCAATGCCCTATTGCTTACTTAATGATCTATCTATTTAAGCTATTGAAGTAATCAGTGTCCAGCATGAATAATAATATTTATTTCTTTATTTTCGTTAATAAAAAGCATAGAATATGATCATAACTGTATGCAAGAATTCTTTTTTGGAACTGATTTGTTCCAGCGTATGGTAAATATTTTGTTAATTAAAGTTTATAGCTGTGGGGTTAATATAAGAGTGATGTGCAATTTACAAAGCTTTTTAAACGCTCTTTTAAATAAAATTTGAGTAGAGCCAAGCTGAAGTAACATCATTTGCAAACAGACCGCGTCTTACTTTAAATGGTACGTAGGTGGTCTTAACAAATGTTTATTAGGCCTGCGCCTTTGTACCGCAGTAAAAATTCATTATTTTGTGATGAGATCATTTCGCAATGAGCTGCTGCTGCTGCTGTTTTCGTAATACCATCCACAGTAATACACCAAACAATGCATTAAATGTATTGCATTTAAATTAAAATATTGCGAATTTTTGATGAAATTCAAGTTTACAGGCTGTTGCTGTCATCCGTTCATGTGCGTTAATCTGATTGTACACAAACATTACTGTCGTTGCATTTCACTTGCTGCAATTTGTAAATTTGTTGTAAATTCTTCATGCATTTCATAGACGGGTAATGTTTATTAATTGGAAATTTATTTAAACACAAAAAGGCTGACATTAAACAATTTTTTTTATGGCACAATAATCGTAAAAAAATTGGAAATGTAATTGGTTGAATAATTTTCAATGCTGTTGCATGTTTCATTTCACTTCACCATATTCCAAAAGTGCTCATTTAATTTACTTAATGTTTATATGAACACTTGTGCGTTATAGGGTTGAATTTTATTTTTTATTTATTTTTTACTTCTCCCTCCACTCCGTTTCAGTTCCTGTAAACAAATTTCATTAAAGGAAACAACATAATTCTCTGTTATTAACACAAAAAATATAAAAAATCAAATTTAGTGATGCGTTCATGAAATGTCGCGACAGTTGAACTATAAAACTTCCATAAATGTTCTTGGTTCTGTACAGATGGAAATTAATTTCCTTTTTGAAAGATTATGAGCTACTGACTGACATTGAACAGTTGATAGTTTAAAATACAACAATTTTTATCTTGGGGGATTTTCACTTATGACGTTTATGAACCACAAACTAAGATCCAGAAACCAAGAATTAAATACTGAAAAATTGAGTACCATAAATCAGGTACTAAGATCTAAGAACCAATTGCTTCCAAAAAAATAATTTATACATCATTGACGAACAATCCCAATTACACAATCAGTTTAAATTCATCAGATAGACAAGAAATGAATAAATGGACTTTGAACTTCATAAAATATCATGCTCGAGTGTCTTATGTTATTCATCAATCAGTCAGTTAGCATAGCATTAAATTAAAATATGAAATAATAAAATGCTGCTGTCATATTATGAATTATGCATTTTCTCTTCGTCGAGATTTTTCTATCCAATCTTAAGCCGCATAATGGAAACATTTGTTGTAATGCTATGGCTGACTATATGAAGTAAAATCATCAATAATTCTCTTCATATTCTCAGAAGTTTTGTGTACAAGATTAGCATCCAATTTCAACATTGCCGGCTGTCAAGTGCTCTCTCCTTGTATGACATTCACTGCTTTTCTATTCATGTTTGCATGCCTTACTGGAATCCGTCTACAGACACGTTACATTGCATTTACTTTAAACTGAGTTTATTGATCTATTTTTTCCACTCCCTCCGTTTTTCTTCAGTTCTATTTTCTGATCTGTTGTTGATGATGATGAAGATGGAAAATAGAGAAAAAAGAAATAACAATCATGTTGTCTCAAGATGAAGTTCATTCCGCTACTGTTTCACTTACTTTACTACTACCCTCATCAATGTTTTTCTCATTAAATCATTACAAATCGATTGATCGACTCGATTGGAAAGGAATGTATCTTTGAACTGATTGATTTCTCTGTGTAATGAATGAAATTGTGTTTGAAAATCATGCTGTGGACATCTGGAAATGAAAGTTGTGGGGCAAATTTAAAAATCCGTTAAAAGATATATTTGAATTTTTTGCAATTTTGAGGTTAATTCAAATAATTTTTGACAGTTAAAAATTAATAATTTGAATTTTATGCTTAAAAATTCAAAAAAATAAAATAGCGGATTTTTTAATGAATGTCCAAAACCAGAAAAAAAAACATAAATCAAGCTTCTTTACTAATCTCAAATTTTATTCTTCTTATTCTAATTTCAGATGATTTAAAAGTCAACATTAATTGAATGGAACTACACAATCAATTGATTGGAATTGATATGAAACTCAAATGCTGTAATAAAACCAGCATAAGAAGTGCGAAGCTAAATGACATCAAGAGTTATAATTGAGAAAGTCAACATTATCATTTAGTTGTTTATAGTCCATTCACGAAACTCTGACTATTGAAAACTTTTATTTTCATTTTTAAAAGTTTCTTTATTGCTTTTCTCAACAACAATAATCTCCGTGCATCTTTTTTGGCTCTTGTTTTTAAATTGCGAAAGTTTTTCCATTTCATTCATTATTTTGCAAAGCTTTTTGCTTTTTGTTACAAAAAAAGAGAATAGCAACGACCTCGATTCTCCCCTAATTAAGTCATAATCAAATGGGAATTTAGCAAATGCCTCCTTTTGTGTTCGACAAAGTCATTGAGATATAAAGTCACGATAATTGAAGATGAATTCAGTATTCTCAGCATTTAAATCAAATAAAAATAACAATTCGTCGACATTAAATGCATCAGCAGTGGCAAGTGAAAATAATAATAGCAGTAATAAAAAGAATCAAAATTCAAATAAAAAGACGTTAAATTTAAATGAGACAAATAATTATGAAAAGTTGCGACATATTCGTGAAAAAATGTCTAATCTCATGATTGATGATGACGAAATAAATTTGAGAAAGCCGACCATCCCAATCGCACCAATTGGCGAAGATGTTTGTGACTCAATGCTACCACCAAAGAAACCGACAACATCAACATCCTCATCATCATTAAAAATGAATGGATTCGATTGTGTCGATAGTGTGCCATCGATGAATGGTAAATTAAATGGCAATGGTTATGCAAACAACATCGGGTCGTTATCGTCGATTAAAAAACATTACAATCAAGACAATTCGGAAAATTACGCGAGTGAAAATAACTTACTGAGTAAATGTTGCAATGGTGGTGCTGCTGCAATGGGCAGCGATGTCTCAATTGCAGACGTGAATGATGCAAACAACAGTGCAAGTGCGAGTAGTTTAATTTCAGTAAAGTCGATGCCATTGAGCAACTCAAATGAGTTAGCATGCAGATCGGCATTAACTGTTTACAATAAGCAACCACAGCCGACCAATTTTAGCAATTCAAATCGTAATAGACCGCGTCTTAGCTTAAGTAGTATAAGCAACAGTAGTAATAGTAATAATAATGTAGCAGTAAATTGTCAACCTGCTGTACATGGACGAAATAGCAGCAATGGATTACCGACTGGTCAAACACGGACGCGTTTGTCGACGCATCAGAGGAATCTAAGTCTAGACTTTAGGTGAGTTATTGACAACTTTTTAATTATTTTTTTGAGTTTTTTGACCGTTATTTTGAAATATTTGAACAAATTCAAATATTTTCCAACACTTGAAATTTTAAAAATTCGACTAAATTAAAGGTCAACAGCTTTAACATTAAATGAACAGTTAAATCACAGGTGCGGCTTCTCAAAATGCTGAATAATCAAAGAGAAATGATTTTTGAAAAATTAAATTAAAATTCATTTTAATCAAATAATTATTGTTATTATGATTTATTGCTGTCAAAGTTTTGTGGCATGTGAAACTTGAAAACAGCCTATCGCACTTCAAAATGTCATAATACATAATTATAGTGGACAAAGTATCAAAATGATAATTGATACGGAATTTGCATACTCCATAAATCAATTTGGATATTTTCAATTGTGATCACGCCCTGCCAAACACTTGCTAGCTACTCGTGAATAATTCTCAGGGTTTCATTCTGTTTATTATGTATTTATACTCATTAGATTCTTATATGAAATAATAATTTTTTTGTTTGAGGATTTCCGCATTTTATTCTCGCCATTATTCGCATATATGCAATTCTTGTGCTTCTATTTTTGTAAATGGATATCCAAAAAATATTAATCCAGAACCGTACTTAAATATCATGTGTCTATCAAGTTCACATTGTATTTATTCTTTTCATATTTATATTTTGCCAACTTTTTAACCTTGAAATTCACTTTGCAAAGAGCATTTTGTGGGGGTATTCATAAATGATGTCTATGAGAACCCTTTCGACCCTTCTGTCTATTTTTCAGCTAGAGCAACACTGGTTCTATCCCAAAACTTTTTAACATCATTTATGAACGACCCCTTATTAAAATATTATTTTTTCATCTTTAATCTTTTTATGATTGAAATTGAGATTGATCACATGTCGGAAAATAAAATTCACATTACTAGCTATTTAAATATAAAGTCTATTCTACCCATGAGAGTTGCTTTATTTTCAAGAATTCCGTACCGAAATTTAATTCATCTTTTCTGCGTTTTACGAAAAAAAAAATTGTACGCGACTTATAAGATTTGTTGAGTGCCTTAAGTGTATTTTGACATTCTTATATAGACTTTTATTTTCATCTCAATTCTTTTGAAATATAAAAAAATTGTGATTAAATTAAATTCCATAAATGGCTTCTTATTTTCTCGTTTCTCAGCCAACCAACGCAATCACATTTTTACATCGAAAAGGTGATCAAACTTCGCTTGTTTCTATGCCTTCAAAATAAAATATATTCGAATGCTTTGACCGCATTAAATGAATTTGTAGAGTATTAATTAGATCGTTTAATTAGACAGCTTAGCTTGAAAAATAGTTTTCCTTCTTTTTCATTGTTTGTCACACATTTTTCTCGTTTTTCACATCTAATGCAACTAGATTCTGTCGTGGATTTTTACAGAACAAATGTTTTTAATCACGTAGGAAATGAAATTGAATTTATCTTTAAGTGATTCAAGAGTGAGGCTTCATTTTTTATACCTTTAATGTCCCAGAGATGTGGAACTTTGATTTACTTGTTTATTAACATTTTGGCGTCAAAATTTTATAAACAAAAACACAAATTTCATCAAACATCAAATAAAACTGTCAATTTTCCATTCCCCATCCCTGAATTCATTGCTATCCCAGCTGAATAAATCAAAACATAAACATGGAAAAAGAAGAAAACAAACAAACTCTCTCGAAAAGTCCCGTAAAACTGATGACACAGTGAAGGTCTTGTAACACGACATATTCATGGGTAGATCGATATATCATGCTGTGTTATGTTTACTTATTTAAATTGAAATGAGCATGAAGAAGAAGGAGAAAAAAATGGAATAAGAAGAACAGATAGAAAACTCATTATGAAACACACGTGTGGAACTAATCAAGCAAGAATTGAAGAATTTCATGAAAAAAAGTCACATAAGACTTTACACTGTGCATGTCTAGGAATAAAATGTGCGAGAAATGATGCTCAGTTATGAAAAATAAACATCAGCAAAGTGTTTCCTTCAATGAGCAAGGCGGTAGGAATGTAAAGAAAAAAGATTATGTAACATTGCGGGCATTTCCATTCATTTTTTAAGCAAGAAAAATATTTACTTTTTAAAAAAAATTGGTCCATTCCAAAAGTTATGGCTTCCAGTTTCTGATGTAAACTAATTATTATAATTATTTTTTGTTTACACATCTCTTTAGTGCTGCATGATAACTTATGGCTATTGTTCTTATTTTCTTGTTCCCATTCTGATCATTTTACTGTGGCTTCTGTGCTTAAGCTTCACTCTTTTGCGCTCAGTTATTTATATTCAGTATAATTATGATGAAATATTATATCTACAGACATTTATGCTGATTCTCGAGCATACATAAATTATAGTATTTGTTATTCTTAAAAAGTTAACGCTCAACTCGATGGGAATGAGTCTTACATAAAACAAACATTGAGAATTTTTCTTTTAAACGACTGAAAACTCAACTGTCATGACTGTGTTGTGTAACATCATAATTTTAAACTTAAGACGACGTTCATCATTTTTCATCATATCCTTCTCTCTTGTCGCTTCGTTCCGTTTCTGTTTTTGCCCTTTATGGAAAGGATTTGACGATGAATACAAATACGATTTTTTCATGAATCACTCTTGTATTAATTATATTGTTCATGAACAGTTCCTCATCCAGAGTTGGTGAATGATATTTTATAATGATGATGGGATCATTTGGCTACACTACGAAAAGGATATCATCCTTCAATCTTTTAAATTTGATCCTGTGCATAGCTACTCTTACAGATTTGTTTCTTATAGTGCTACTAGGTAGCTATTGTATCTTCAAAATTAGCCAAGTCACCCAAGCATTTCCCAAATTAGTCCTAGGTTTATTTTCTAGGTTAGAAACCTAATTTCATTTTTTAGAAACCATTCTCTTGGCGGTTGTGAGTGTTACGTCATAAGACTTGTTACTTCTCCCCAAGACCTAGACATTAGAATGCTCAACTCTGACCAAGCCTGTACTCAGGATGTTAATCCATCAATTTTGGATGTTAAAAACATTTTTAATGTATAAAAATTCAATGAATGTATAACAATATTCAAGCATAATAATCCATCCAAAAGATTCAATTTTTATTTCATTTTATGAATATAAATTACCGGAAATTTATAAGTAGCATAAGAATAGGAATACGTCATGATGAGACAGATGATAAGGAATATAAAGTGTACGTGTATGTATGAGAAATTGAATAAATGCCTGAGTAAATTACAGCAGAAGTCTATGGAATCTACCATCATGCCTGCTTATTATGATGATTATTATTTTATTCATTCATACACACATCATCATCATTTGTGTGACAAACAATGAAAAATTGTCCATTTACATTTACTTACATCAATCGTAAATAAGCGAACACACATCTAGTCTCTCACTTCCTAAGAATAAGCTTAAATGAACTTTATACATAACAACTGGTGCTAACAAGCAATTTAACTTAATGCATGATGAAAATTATATATTGCACAATAAGATATTAAGGTTTCATTGACTCTATAATGCTTGATTTCATAATACTTTAGACAGGAAGTAAGCTTTGATGTTCTATTTATCATAAATTTAAAGTATCATCGCCTTAATTGCCTCTACACAATATTTTCCTTATTATAATGAGGGTGTTAATTAATATCGAACCAACAAAGAGTTGTTTTTATATAGTCAGTCATAAAGGTACTGTGAATTATAAATTTATTTTGTATTTATAACCAATATGTGTTGTGGCTGATCAGGATTATTTTATTTTTGCGGTATGACTCATCATTTGCAGTTTGTATATTCAATCGTCATAGTGCTTAGAGTTTTTGTCCTTTGACTAATTTATACCTGGGAAACCAATAACAATCCCGAGTCGTGCATTGACATTTAATTGATTTATGGCTTCTTTGAGGTAGACATTCAAGGCTAATTGCGGGTTTGGTGAATTTTTGTGATTAATATTGTTGGTTAGAAGCTTAGATGTGTTGATTTTTGAGATTTGGGTGAAGTTAAAGTCACTTTATGTGGTTGAAAAAGTTTTATTGCCTTATAAAATTTAGCTATAAATGTGATTTCTCGAGTCAGGTAAATCTGATTAAATATTCATGCCTTTTGCTCTAGATTTTTATAGTAAGGATGCTGTTTAAGAGTTCTGAACTTTACTTTTCCTCTGTACACATTAATGATATACTAGAGGCACTAATCACAGTCAAACTTCCTTGATTCAAATGGAGGAAGATCCGGATAGCCCTAAGAAACAGCTCTAGAGCTATAGAAGTATGAAACTGAGCATTTAAAGTGTAGTTGACCCAAAAACCGAGTTCTAGATAGCTTTATTCTAACAAAACACTACACCTAACCTCAAAACCTCTAAAAATCAAGTCATCCGCTTAATTGACAAATGAAGAACATAAATCAAAACTAATGAAGTGCTATTTTACTACGACTTTACCACTCGGGAATGAAACATGAACCCCACACATAAAAATTGTATAGAAAATCGATAATTTGAAAATTGCAATTATATTAATAAACAATCTGAAGTTTCATTCTCTCGGTTCTCAAAAAGCAGCACTTCATATAATAATAAAATGGAAAAATACCTGCAAATACATACAATATTAATTCTCTATGTAGTAGCTAGACAAATGAAGAATTATGGTTACGGCATGTACTGTGTAGAAATATCTATGCAAATGTCTACTTTCATTATTTTAGCTTTTTAGTTTTTTTAAGCAATTCGATTTGTAAATTTCATGAAAAAATAATGGAAGAGCTTTTCACAGCAGCAGCAACGTTACGAATGCAAATTTTATGATATTGTGCAAATAAAAAAAGCTTAAAAATATGCGAACAGAGGCGACAGTTCAGTTTTGAGAGTTTCAACTTTTAATGAAGATTATGCAAAAATATTCATACATTACAATGATAACTGTATGTATAAAAATT